GAGCCCAGTATGCAGCAAGCATTACCCCTCTGGATGGCCACACTTAGGCGCTGGAACTTAAAAGTTGCCGCTCGTGAGTCCCTGGTGGTTTCAATGAGTCTGGAACCCAGTTCTTTGAGGAAACGTGTAGCGTTCATTCCCCATGATCCCAAGGTCTCTGATCTTACTGGGATAAATTGATACTGGTGGCCTATGTCTCTGTACCTGCCGATCTTGTACTCCTTCCTGTGATCAGCAACACCTCTCTGTTGCCCGATACTGTGACGAATGTAGCTGTTAGTCAGCGTCGACACACAGGTATAGTCCCATTCTAAAAGCTTGCCACTCTTCCAAGGATAAATGGTAATAATATCGTGGCGGTTTGCGGGATTGTGAGGATTGCTGGATGCTAGGGATCGGGGCTCCCTCTCTCAGCCGGGTATCCAGCTGTAGCAAGGCTCCTCTTTATGATTCCATTGACTACATTGTCTTGCGTGTCAGTTCTTGGTTTTGGAGCAGTTTAGACCCTGTATAACATGATGAAATTAAGACACATGTGCAACATCTGGGTATCTTTATTGTAGACGTTACGTCATCCAGAGGCTTTATCAATACAAATTCCAGGACATAACTTGAAGACAGTAGGACTATATGCAGAAGAAGAGGTAATCAGTCCCTCAGCCTTGGAGTAGGTGCGAAGAGCACCGTAGTCGTGGAGGTTCTGAAGCAGAAGCAAGGAGGCTGGCGCTTATATATTAACGTCAGGTGGAAATGGGACGTGTAGCAGTTTGGGCATAGTCACTGGTAGGCGGGATTCCCCAGTGGAAGTAGGTCCTACCCAAAGAGATGGGTTAGTTGTAGTAGTAGTTGTCGTAGTCGTGAATGTTATGTACATGTTGCACATGTGTCTTAATTTCATCTTGTCGGTATTGTATACCATTCTTGTACAACTTGTATAACATATTAGTCGGTTTGCACATTGCAAATTGCCGCAGGAGGTTCAGTGGGACAGAGAAATGGTAGGAAAATCAGTAAACGAGATGATGGAATATGTGGCAACAAAGTGCAAGGAGGCAGAGGAAAGGTTTGTTCCCAAGGGAAACAGAAATAATAGGAAGACCAAAACGAGTCCTTGGTTTACCCGAAGGTGTAGGGAGGCAAAAACTAAGTGCAACAGAGAATGGAAAAGGTACAGGAGGCATAGGACCCAGGAAAACAAGGAGATTAGTAGAAGAGCCAGAAACGAGTATGCACAGATAAGGAGGGAGGCCCAGCGACAGTATGAAAACGACATAGCATCGAAAGTCAAATCTGACCCGAAACTGCTGTATAGCCACATTAGGAGGAAGACAACAGTCAAGGACCAGGTGATAAGGCTGAGGAAAGAAGGTGGAGAACTCACAAGAAACGATCAAGAGGTATGTGAGGAGCTCAACACGAGATTTAAGGAAGTATTTACAGTAGAGACAGGAAGGACTCTGGGGGGACAGACCAGATGGGGACACCAGCAAGGAATACACCAACAAGTGTTGGACGACATACATACAGATGAGGAGGTGAAGAAACTGCTAAGGGACATTGATACCTCAAAGGCAATGGGACCGGACAACATCTTCCCATGGGTCCTTAGAGAGGGAGCAGATATGTTGTGCGTGCCACTTACCACAATCTTCAACACGTCCCTGGAAACTGGGCAACTACCTGAGGTATGGAAGACGGCAAATGTAGTTCCCATTTTAAAAAAAGGAGACAGAAAAGAGGCACTAAACTATAGACCTGTGTCACTGACGTGTATAGTATGCAAAATTATGGAGAAGATTATCAGGAGGAGAGTGGTGGAGCACCTGGAACGGAACAAGAGTATAAATGCCAACCAGCACGGATTCACGGAAGGCAAATCCTGTGTCACAAACCTTCTGGAGTTTTATGATAAAATAACAGAAGTAAGACACGAGAGAGAGGGGTGGGTTGATTGCATCTTCTTGGACTGCAAGAAGGCCTTTGACACAGTTCCTCACAAGAGATTAGTGCAGAAGCTAGAGCATCAGGCGCATATAACAGGAAGGGCACTGCAATGGATCAGAGAATACCTGACAGGGAGGCAACAACGAGTCATGGTACGTAATGATGTATCACAGTGGGCACCTGTGACGAGCGGGGTCCCACAGGGTCGGTCCTAGGACCAGTGCTATTTTTGGTATATGTGAACGACATGATGGAAGGGTTAGACTCAGAAGTGTCCCTGTTTGCAGATGATGTGAAGTTAATGAGGAGAATTAAATCTGATGAGGACCAGGCAGGACTTCAAAGAGACCTGGACAGACTGGACACCTGGTCCAGCAAATGGCTTCTCGAATTTAATCCTGCCAAATGCAAAGTCATGAAGATAGGGGAAGGGCACAGAAGACCACAGACAGAGTATAGGCTAGGTGGCCAAAGACTGCAAACCTCACTCAAGGAGAAAGATCTTGGGGTGAGTATAACACCGAGCATGTCTCCGGAAGCACACATCAATCAAATAACTGCTGCAGCATATGGGCGCCTGGCAAACCTGAGAACAGCATTCCGATACCTTAGTAAGGAATCGTTCAAGACACTGTACACCGTGTATGTGAGGCCCATACTGGAGTATGCAGCACCTGTTTGGAACCCGCACTTGATAAAGCACGTCAAGAAACTAGAGAAAGTACAAAGGTTTGCCACAAGGTTAGTTCCAGAGCTAAGGGGAATGTCCTATGAAGAAAGATTAAGGGAAATCGGCCTGACGACACTGGAGGACAGGAGGGTCAGGGGAGACATGATAACGACATATAAAATACTGCGTGGAATAGACAAGGTGGACAAAGACAGGATGTTCCAGGGAGGGGACACATAAACAAGAGGCCACAATTGGAAGTTGAAGACACAAATGAGTCAGAGAGATATTAGGAAGTATTTCTTCAGTCATAGAGTTGTAAGGCAGTGGAATAGCCTAGAAAATGACGTAGTGGAGGCAGGAACCATACACAGTTTTAAGACGAGGTTTGATAAAGCTCATGGAGCGGGGAGAGAGAGGGCCCAGTAGCAACCGGTGAAGAGGCGGGGCCAGGAGCTAAGACTCGACCCCTGCAACCACAAATAGGTGAGTACACGTATATTCCTTGTGAATTTGGGCAGCGAGGCGGAGAGCCGCTGCAATATTGGTATAGTTGTATGGTAATAACAACTTGATAAACCCTGAAGAGTTTAAAAAAAAGTTAATTGTGTTTCTCGAGCACCGGAAACTCCTAGCTGGAAGACAAAAAAGTATAAACATCAGTAAAATAATTAAATGTTAGGTGAAAAGTACATAAGAACAACTTATGTGACATTTATTACGTCTTCTGGAGAGTGAAACGTAAACAGAATGTCTCCGGCCCCGAAGGAAAAAATGTTGATGGGAAAGTCAGATGATGAGGATTTCCTGGTGCTAAAAATAAAAAGATCAACAGACCACGTAGAACAAAAGTACTGGAGTAGATCTCGTCGCCAATAGATAGATAAGTAACTGGGACGAAATCAGAGAGAAAAACCCATGTGAATTAAACGAGGTCTTTTGTTCAACAAATGTCGAGCACAAGACATAGCACTACCAATTAAACGAGGTCTTTTGTTCAACAAATGTCGAGCACAAGACATAGCACTACCAGCATTAGCTCTATTACTGCAATCTGTTATCGCTAATACAAACAGGCTACTAAAAAATAGGCAATTAAATACGCACTTGGTTCTCGAATCTTGATGTCTGGTGAACCATAACTGTCAGGACATGCGCCTGAGGAGACAGTCAAGTATCATGTTGTCATCCAGGAGGCGCTGCTAATGAGACGAGAATAAATTTTCCTTCCTCCATCAAGGTAGAAATGAACTCTAGCGAGGACACCATAATTAGTCTCTCATTAGGGAACAAAGAATCTCAGTTAGTTATCTTGCAACAACGGCACCTCGATTTATAATTCCGGACGAGAATCCCTTAAATTCAGCATTTGGAATGAAGGTTTCTTAACTGATTTGGAATATCTGCCATTCATTCCATGAGCTGGGAAGAATATTATATCTAATATGTAATCTGAATCAACATTTTCTGTTTTGGGAGCTGATACACAGTTAATTCACAGTTAAGAGATACTATAACACGTTAACTAATTGCTGATCTAGAAAGAGGCCATTTGAATTAATCTATAAGAGAGACGACACACTACTAGCAGTTACACTCTTGCTAGCGTAAGTAACGATGATTATAGTAACAGTCCTTAGTGTGACAAGGTCTGTGTACCTATCAGTTTATCTTGTCAAATGATTTAACGCCTCGTAAAAGACCAATTGATTCTGTCAATTTTTGTCCAGTGTCGTGCCGGTCAAAGAGTTCGAGGCCTGTCAATGGAGCTATCAATTCTCGGTCAGCTGCCGATCTATCTCTCCCGTCGAATGGTTCAATTCATGTCATTCTGGCTCTCAGTTCTGTCAACCGGTATCTTATCTCTAGCACATCTCAAGGAGAAAATCACCCATCCGGCTCCTTTCTTGAGCACCAGATGACGGTGGAACCTTTCCTTACCTGTTTCACTTCCTCTTTCCTCTTCTCTTATCTCTTTTTCTCTCTGTGCCACAGGTCACAGAGCAGCGTAGAAAGCCTCGCAAACAGCTGAGGTTAATCTATAATCATAATAATAATAATAATAATAATAATAATAATAATAATTAATAATAATAAATATCTTTATTTCTACAAGTACGTGTACAAGGTATACAGACTTAGCTGACATCACTGGTATACTACTATATAGAAAGCTCCTAGTTATGAAGAACATTTCAGGTAAATTAGGTCAATTTTGTCCCAGGATGCCACCCACACCAGTCGACTAACACCCTGGTACCTATTTTACTGATAAGCGAATGGGGACAGCAGGTATGAGATGCCTTGAGCCAGGTATTCACGGGCTCCTCGTCCACTGCCTAGAAGACGGACCTCAGGCACCGTCCAAGGAGGGATCAACACTCACCTTCAGTTGCAGAAGGTGACCTGTGTGGGGGTTGATAGTGAAGTAGGCGTGGGAGGGGGAGAGACCATCCACACCATCACCACCAACACTGTACACCAGCCCTGCTGAGTCCACTATGTCTGGGTCTGCAGCCTCCACCTGCAACACAAAACATTGTCTTGATTCTGGCACATGAAACACAAGCACTGTCTTGGCACTGGCACCCGAAACCCAAACAACTGTCTTGGCACTGGCACCTGCAACACAAAATACTGTCTTTGTATTAACACAAGTATCCGGCACACCACTCTACCAACCAGTGCGAGGCATCGGGACCCTTGTCTCTCCCTTCAGCCAATCAGCATAACTAACAAATATAGCGTAATGACTGTATATCAAATAATGAGAGTAGCTTATTACTCTTCGGATTTCAGCAACTAGCCCGTCCACCTACAACGAGTCATCAACGTGCAGATTCTGACGTTGCTCACAGTCACCGAAACACTTCGCTGCCAGAATATAAAAATAAAACATGAATGCAGGAAATGTTCAGAAACTTATGCTGCGACATTCGTCAGAAAACTGTGTGGCATGAGGATTGTTGTTTTTGCTTTTAAGGGCTACGACGGCTTGTACCGTACGACCGACTCTTCATCTTGGGATGTGTTTTAAGGGCTACGACGGCTTGTACCGTACGACCGACTCTTCATCTTGGGATGTGTTTTAAGGGCTACGACGGCTTGTACCTTACGAACCTTCCTCATGGGATGTTTGGAAAACGAGTCCCACACTGATCCCACGTACCAGACTAGCATCCCAGGGACGAAAATTAAATGCAGATATAATCGAATTCAACGAGAAAATATCAGACAGGACTGTTATGAGGCAAAGTGTTGACAATGTTGGCCAAATTAGCCAGTCATTAAGCAGGATTACCAGTATCCAATCTACAGCTGATTATGATCCTGGCAATGATGCTGATTAATGCTGATTTTCATCACTAAACGACTGGCGTTGTAACGTCATTTGCGACGTATATTTAATCTTGAGTTAATAAAGACCTTAACATAAATGAAAGTATGATGAACAATTGAAAATGATGAGACTGAGATGCCTTGTATGTTATGATCATTCATGATGAGGTGTCAGCAGCCAACCTTGCTTCTTTCCTGCTACATTCATTAGACTTATGTACAACATTATTCGTTATAACTCACGAAATCGTAATGACAAGATTGCAAACAAACGACGGTATGGGTGGGGAATGAACTCGTGGCAAGTGAGTCGTAGACAGACGGTCCAGTGGGTTACGCACTGGCTTAGAATTTTACGACTCACTTGCCGCGAGTTCAATCTCCACACGTCCCGAGGTTTCATCATTCGTTATATATGTAATTTAGTTCGATTTTTTCACTATAGCTACATTTTTCGCTGAAAAATGCAAACTTTATTTAGTCTTTTGTAAAATATCGCTTCATTTTGTGCAGAATAATCGAGTTTTTTTTAAAGAATATCGTTCAATATTTACAGAATATCAGTCGATCTTTACAGATTATTGTACAATATTTGAAGAATGTCACTGAAATTTTCCAGACCACATTTTAATATTTGTAAAATAACACGAGATATTGCAAGGCAGATTACCAAACAAAAACAGAATAAGCGGAAAATGCTGACACAACTATTGACAACAAGTCTGACCAAAACTGAATACAAACTGTAACCAACTGAACTGTAAATCCAACCACTGTAACTTCTATGCATGTTTCTAAAATAAAGGAAAATTTAGAATTTTTCATTTTTGAAAAAAAAAAATGGATTACGTAAAAACAGTGTAGTGTTCCCACCACGGGAAAAAATATAATGTGGATAAAATCCAAAAAAAGGCTCGTAGAGTATAAAGATCTGAATTGCGAAGGAGGAAGAGAGGAGATGTTGATAACTACGTATATAAGGAAAGATGCTGGGGAGAAAGGAAGATTTCTTGCCTCTAACAACGGGGCAACAGTTATAAACGGAGGGAAAAAACGGTGCTGGATGTATAATAAAGAGTTTTCATACACGGAAGTTTAGGAGAAATAGAAAGGAATGAAAGAGACAGTGATACAACCACTAGAAATTAAAAAAAAAACAACAAGAGAGAGAGAGGATAAAGTAAACAGGGATAACGGGACACCACAAAGCTTGTTTCGACATTGGAGCAGTTGATAGGGGGCGGTGACCCCCACGAAAGTGAGTCCAGGTAGGTATTTAAACAACACCAAGGGGCCTTTGTGCCATCCTCTCTCTCTCTCTCTCTCTTCCACCCTCTCTCTTTTTCACTGTTTTACACACACACACACACACACACACAAACACACACACACACACACATACACACACACACACACACACACACACACACACACACAGCTAAGAGGTATGTCCTACGAGGAGAGGTTAAGGGAAATCAACCTGACGACACTGGAGGACAGGAGAGATAGGGGGGACTTGATAACAACATACAAAATACTGAGAGGAATTGACAAGGTGGACAAAGACGGGATGTTCCAGAGATGGGACACAGCAACAAGGGGACACAGTTGGAAGTTGAAGACACAGATGAATCACAAAGATGTTAGGAAGTATTTCTTCAGCCACGGAGTAGTCAGGAAGTGGAATAGTTTGGGAATCGATGTGGTGGAGGCAAGATTCATACATAGCTTTGAGCAGAGGTATGATAAGGCTCACGGTTCAGAGAGAGTGACTCAGTGGCGACCAGTGGGGAGGCGGGGCCAGGAGCTAGGACTAGACCCCTGCAACCTCAACTAGGTGAGTACACACACACACACACACACACACACACACACACACACACGCACACACATAACAGGCCTAGTGTCTAATCGACATGTGCCTAGGACAAGATGGTAACTAAGAGTAACGATATTCAAGGCACTGTTACATAACATATCTGACTTGCAGAGTAAGTTGGAGAAAGCACATGCAAATGAGCCGCAAGGACGTCGGAAAACATTTCTTAGACGTAAAAAAAAGTGATAGATGGAAGTGAAAGTGAACCTTAACACAGTGAAAGTGAACCTTAACACAGTGAAAGTGAACCTTAACACAGTGAAAGTGAACCTTAACACAGTGAAAGTGAACCTTAACACAGTGAAAGTGAACCTTAACACAGTGAAAGTGAACCTTAACACAGTGAAAGTGAACCTTAACACAGTGAAAGGAACCTTAACACAGTGAAAGTGAACCTTAACACAGTGAAAGTGAACCTTAACACAGTGAAAGTGAACCTTAACACAGTGAAAGTGAACCTTAACACAGTGAAAGTGAACCTTAACACAGTGAAAGTGAACCTTAACACAGTGAAAGTGAACCTTAACACAGTGAAAGTGAACCTTAACAATATATGGCCAGTTTATTGTTGTTTCTTGTTGTTGGTCGGTGATCTTTTTGTTGTTGTTGCTTTTAGTTTTGTTTATAAAAATGAAGCGGTAAATCCGTGTGGGCCATCCAGAATAGCGGAGGCTCGATCCACCGTCCGCGCTGAGACAGGCAGACAGGCAACCCTGCTCCCTCAACCAACTTACCAACACACACACATACATTTTCAATCTGAGATTAGCAGTCCCAGTACCTCACCCAGCACCTGTCCCAGTACCTCACCCTGCACCTGTCCTAGTACCTCACTCAGCACCTGTCCCAGTACCTCACCCTGCATCTGTTCTAGTACCTCACTCAGCACCTGTCCCAGTACCTCACTCAGCACCTGTCCCAGTACCTCATCCAGCACCTGTCCCAGTACCTCATCCAGCACCTGTCCCAGTACCTCACCCAGCACCTGTCCCAGTACCTCACCCAGCACCTGTCCCAGTACCTCACCCAGCACCTGTCCCAGTAACCTCACCCTGTACCTGTCCCAGTACCTCACTCAGCACCTGTCCCAGTACCTCACCCAGCACCTGTCCCAGTACCTCACTCAGCACCTGTCCCAGTACCTCACCCAGCACCTGTCCCAGTACCTCACTCAGCACCTGTCCCAGTACCTCACTCAGCACCTGTCCCAGTACCTCACCCAGCACCTGTCCCAGTACCTCACCCAGCACCTGTCCCAGTACCTCACTCAGCACCTGTCCCAGTACCTCACTCAGCACCTGTCCCAGTACCTCACCCAGCACCTGTCCCAGTACCTCACCCTGTACCTGTCCCAGTACCTCACTCAGCACCTGTCCCAGTACCTCACTCAGCACCTGTCCCAGTACCTCACCCTGTACCTGTCCCAGTACCTCACTCAGCACCTGTCCCAGTACCTCACCCTGTACCTGTCCCAGTACCTCACCCAGCACCTGTCCCCAGTACCTCACCCAGCACCTGTCCCAGTACCTCACTCAGCACCTGTCCCAGTACCTCACTCAGCACCTGTCCCAGTACCTCACCCTGCACCTGTCCCAGTACCTCACCCAGCACCTGTCCCAGTACCTCACCCAGCACCTGTCCCAGTACCTCACCCAGCACCTGTCCCAGTACCTCACCCAGCACCTGTCCCAGTACCTCACCCAGCACCTGTCCCAGTACCTCACCCAACACCTGTCCCAGTACCTCACTCAGCACCTGTCCCAGTACCTCACCCAGCATCTGTCCCAGTACCTCACTCAGCACCTGTCCCAGTACCTCACCCAGCACCTGTCCCAGTACCTCACCCAGGACCTGTCCCAGTACCTCACTCAGCACCTGTCCCAGTACCTCACCCAGCACCTGTCCCAGTACCTCACCCAGCACCTGTCCCAGTACCTCACCCAGCACCTGTCCCAGTACCTCACCCAGCACCTGTCCCAGTACCTCTCCCAGCACCTGTCCCAGTACTTCACCCAGCACCTGTCCCAGTACCTCACCCAGCACCTGTCCCAGTACCTCTCCCAGCACCTGTCCCAGTACCTCACCCAGCACCTGTCCCAGTACCTCACCCAGCACCTGTCCCAGTACCTCACCCAGCACCTGTCCCAGTACCTCTCGCAGCACCTGTCCCAGTACCTCTCCCAGCACCTGTCCCAGTACCTCTCCCAGCACCTGTCCCAGTACCTCTCCCAGCACCTGTCTCAGTATCTCTCCCAGCACCTGTCCCAGTACCTCTCCCAGCACCTGTCCCAGTACCTCACCCAGCA